GCTTGGTATTCTGTGCTCGGGCGATCTAGTCGAGTTGACATTCGTCGAACTCGGGTAACAGCTTGCAAATTTTGGTCTGGTACTTTTGCAACCTTTGTTCCTTAATTTGGAAAGTCCCTATGACTTGGTTGTCCACAAGTTGCGAATCGCAGAGGTCTTGCATTTGGGGAGAAGCGTGGACGGCTTCTTTTTCAACTTTGGGCATTATTTTTGCGCTGAAGTCGGCGACGAAGTCTGCAAGGAATTGTGACTTTATCATTGTTCGTGGCCGATATGTGATATCGTGCTCGCTCAATTTGATGGCCTATTTGCCCAACCTGCCTGATAGCTCGGGTTTATGCAAAATGCTTCTTAGGGAGAAAGGCGTGACGACCGATATAGGGTGGCATTGGAAATATGGTCTAAGCTTTCGTGAATCTACGACTAAGGACAAAACTAGTTTTTTGAGGTGGGGGTATCTTGTCTCGGCGTCAACTGGTGTTTTGCTAATGTAATAGATGGAAGACTGCGTACCTTTATTTTCTCGGACAAGGACCGCGCTCACAGATACTTCGGACACGATGAGATAGACGAGGAGGTGCTGCCCCGGTTCTAGTTTTAAAAGCAATGGTAGCAATGACAAGTACACCTTTAACTCCTTCAGGGCTTGGGCGCACTCAGGGGTCCATTGGAGGCCGTTATCCTTTTTGAGTACGCCGAAAAATTTATGGCATTTATCAGATGATCGCGAAATGAACCTTGAACGGGCGGCGATAGCCAGTCTGAACCTGTTTTTTGGTGTTCAAGTGCCCTGGTTTCCCTTCAATGACCTTGATTTGGTCGAGATTGACCTCGATACCTCGCTGTGACACTAGAAAACCTAAGAATTTTCCTGAGGCCACGCCGAATGCACATTTTTTGGGGTTCAGTTTCATTCCATATTGCCTGAGTATGCCGAAGGTTTTTCTCATGTGGACGATGTGATCTTCTTTCCTTTTGGATTTGACCAGCATGTCGTCTATATAGACTTCCATCATTTTACTGAGTTGGTTTTTGAACATCCTCGTCACCAACCTTTGATAAGTCGCCCTCGCATTTTTCAACCCGAAGGGCATGACCCTGTAGCAGTAAGTCCCCTGATGGGTGATGATGGTGGTTTTTTCCTGACCCTATTCCTTCATGAGGATCTGATTATAGCCTGAGTAGGCGTCCAAGAAGCTTAGTAGTTCATGCCCGGCTGTTGCGTCGATGAGTTGGTCGATATGGGATAATGGAAATGAATCCTTGGGGCATGCTTTGTTTAGGTCAGTGAAATCAACGTACATCTATTTTCCATTCTTCTTTTTCACCGTGACCACGTTGGCGACCTATTGGGGGTATTTCGACTCCCTGACTGAGCCATTTTCCAACAATTTTTCCACCTCTTCGCGTACTGCGTCATTAATTGTGGAGTTGAACTTATGCCTAACCTGCCTCACCAGGGGGTGGAATGAATCGACATTCAATTTGTGTGTGGCGATCTCCTTTAGGATACCTGACATATCTGCATGGCTAAAAGCAAACAAGTCTGCGTTAACAGTTAAGAATTGATGAAACTTACCCAATTTCTGAAGTTTGCAGCCGATGTAAGCTTTCTTGCTGTGGTCATTGCTGTCTAACTAAACGAGGTTGAGGTCCTCTACGGTCGTTCCTGTAGCTTCGACCATATCGGGGTCTCTAATGACGTCCTCGCGTCATCACACATCGAACTCGACCTTGTTGATTGCTATGCTTCTTTTTCTTTGTCCTTTATTTGTTGGGTGGTTGTACAGTCTAGGGCGATGCGGTAGAATTCCTGGGATGTGCGTTGTTCCCCTCATATACTGAATATTCCCCATGGAGTTAGGAATTTGATGAGTTGGTATAAGCTAGAGGGGATGGCTCTCATGGTGTGTATCCATGGTCGCCCTATTATGGCGTTGTACACTGTATCTTAGTCCATGATATGGAATGTGGTTTCTAGAGTGACGCCACCGGCTAGGAGGAGGAGTGTGATCTCGCCGGATATTCGCTCAACTGCATTATTAAAACCCGTTAGTGTGATGCAGCGCGACACTATCTTATCCTCAAGTTTCATTTGTGCAAGTACTCGAGGGTGGATATTGCATGTGCTGCTTCTATCGTCTACCATAATGCGCCTCACATCATTATCTAAAATTCGTAAAGTGATAACAAGAGCATCATATTGAGGGAAAACCAAACTGTTGGTATCTAACTTATCGAAGATAATACTTTCTTCGAGTTCATCATACCGTTCGTGGGTGATCGACCATTTGAGCTTGTGGGTTGTGGTAAACTTCACACTGTTGATGGAAGCATGTTCGCCGCCACTGATGATCATGTGGATAGTATGGGTCGGCGAGGGTGGTTTCGAAAGTCCTTGATGTTGTTCACATCCTCTGGCAAAGTAGGTCCTTCCCCGATCGCTCAACAACTCTTTGGGGTGTCCCTATCATAGCATGTTTACGACCTCCTATCTTAGGGCGACGCAATCTTCGATTTTATGTCCTCGCTCTTGATGGAACTCGCAGAGGGCATCTGATTTTCTGGTATTCGGGTCTAACCTCACCTTTTGTGGCCACTTTACTTTCGGTCCGAGCTTCTCCAAGGCGTAGACTATTACTGTAGGTGACACACAAAAATTGTGAGCGGATAATAAAGGGGGCATACCTCTCTCATTTTGGAGAGTCCCTGTTCTTGATCGGGGTGGGCCCTCTTCATGGCAGGACGAGGACGCAGTGGCGGTTTTGACATATGGTAGATGTCGTTCCCAGTTGGGTCGCGAGGCTGCAAGATCTTTTCTGATATCATTTCTTCGATCTTTATTGGATTCTGTTTGCATCGAGGTCAGTCGATGGGTCGGCCCATTGAGGTCGTCCTCGTCTGCTCAGACTTCGGCTCAATATGCGTTGTGTATCTCATCCCAAGTAGTTGGGGATACTTCATAAATCGACTCAGTAGCTTTCTTGTTTCCCTCGAACCATTTCTGCTCAGCCCGTTTTGAAAAGCTACGACCGTCATCCCTTTTGATACATTCGGTAAAGTCATTCTTACTCGGTTGAACCGGGTGAGGAAATCCCTTAATCCCTCTCCCGGAGACTGTTTAATAGCAAATATGTCGTTTACTCTCACCTCTACCTTTTTGGCTCCAACATGGGCCGTTACGAAATTATCGGCCATTTCTTTGAAGGTTTCAATAGAACGCGTAGGTAGTTGTGAATACCAAGTTAATGCTCCTCCCGTGAGGGTCTCACCGAATGTTTTTAACAAAATGGAGGATACTTGTTCCTTAGCGAGATTATTGCCTTTCACGGCGGTGACGTTGTGAATCACATGGTCTTCGGGATCGGTCATGCCATCATATATTTTAAGATAAGGCAGAATTTTAAAGATCTTCGGTATTGCCTGTGGGGCGGCATCATCACTGTATGGCTGCTCGACGAACCGATCGGTATCTCTCTTCGGCAAGAGCTTAGGGGTGCCCGGTATCTTATCGACCATTTCTTGGTGTTTTTCATTTGGTCCCGAAGCGCTTTTTTCTCATTTTCCATTTCCTCCATCCTTTTAAAAATGGTTGCGAGGGTGTCGTCACCTACACCATTAATGACATTATGAGTAATGTCATCGGGGGAGGAGGAAGGAATTGATAATGATGCTCGTTCACTGGTGGTATAACACAAGTCCTTGCGTTTTCTGTAGCCGTGTCCCGAGCGGGCTTAAGGTGGACGCTGGTTAGCGTGTTAGTTAGCCAGGACTCTAGGAGCTTTTTTATTGCTGGTGGCGTCTTCTTCGCCACGGATGTGGAGGCTCCCTTACCAAGAGATTTTGTGATCTTGCCGTGGGGAGGGGGTGACCCACCTCGCCTGGGAGAGGCATTGGGCATTGTGTCCTTGTCCACTGCTTTAGAGCTCTCATTGATGATTGTTCATGAGATTGGTTGGGAGGTCACTCATTATTCTCATTCTCTCTTTTCCGTTACGTGCCATATTAGATCTATGTATGTAGAGAGAAAAGGATCTTGTTCTTATTTTTTTTTTTTACGTTAGTAACTAGTGTTAGTTGTAGATCTAGAAGCAACTAAATGATTTGACTAGATAATCCCCACAAACGGCGCCAAATTGTTTGACTAAAAAGTATAACTTTCGGCTGAAACTATTATATTTATGTAATAACGGGTTAAACCTAGTTAATGATAATATCTCTAGATGCGAATCTTGAAAACGTATGTGAGGTGGGACAGATCCAGTAACGGGTTGACAATAACAAGCATTAAATAGTCATAAAGTATAAACAATAATGTAAGAGCGACTGATAATAAATAGCAACAAATGACATTTGAGTAAATAGGAGGAGTGATTCACCCAATAAATAATGAGATAGGTGATTAATCCTCCTGACAATGGTGAGTGATAGACATATCTTAGAACATTCAAAATCTTCTCGGATATGATGGAAAAGTGTAGGTTAATATGAACAAGAATCTTGATAAAAATGTGTTCTTTGTATCTTTTCAAGAGGAAGAGAATCTTTTTGCAAGGTCTACTCTTATCACAATGAATATCCCATGCTCCTATTCATTATCTTTTTTCCTATTTATATGGGACATACGTAAATCCTAGTAGTACAAATAAAAAGAATATCCAATGGAATATTCTCTTTAATATCCTGCCCTAATAAACTAGCCGTTACAACTCTTTTTATGGCGCTCGACACCGACCATCTTCTGCATCTCGACCACGGACTTCGCCATCTCCTGGTCGACCTCGGCTGACTCTTTTCTCGATATTGCTTAGTCCAAATTACTGAGACGGATATCGACCCATAGAGTTATGTTGCTTAAAAATGATAAGACAATGAGACCAAGCTTCGGCTTCTTAATAGAACCTTCTATTGTTTAGAGCAGAAATATCAATTGGTTCTAGCGAGTAGTAATTCTGAGAAATTAGCTCGTTTGACCATAAAAAAAAATCGGGAAAAAAGTATTTGATCATGAAAATTTCAAATTTCACTTAGAAATTGTATCTATTGCAGTACTAAGTAATTTTACAAAGTTTGAGCAATCAGAGAAAGTGGTCAGAACAAGAGAAGACAAGTCACTAAACAACAACATAGGAAAAAACAGATTCTGCTAAGTGATCTATCAGCCTGTGATAGTTGCCTTCTTAACCTTGGACTACTTCTTCCTGCTAGATTATATGAGCTCGGATATGTATATAAAGTAGTCGATGAGTTTCCAAACATCCGCGCATAAACCAATTCCCCTGTCGTCGTGCCACCAGGACTTAGCATAGGTTCGGACATGTAGCTAGAAGTATAAGGTTGCTGCGATGGATGTGATTCGTTAGTTGCTATCGGTGTCTGACCCCCACATCTCGGACTAGGAGGCCGTTGTGGTATGACAATACCAAGATTCGGGGCCGATGGTTTTGTAGACTGGCCGCGACCAAAGAGTGGAATCAACGTTTTCTGTGAGACTTCAGCTTTGCAAACAGGACATTGTGGCTGTTGGTGATCAGTATTTTCGGACGATTTGCTCTGAAAATGAATCCATTTGTAGATGCAAGGCCAACAATAAAGGTGACCACAGAATGTAACAACAGGATCATACACAAGATCCAAGCATATGTTACACTCAAAACCTCCAGAGAGATTGTCGTCAAGCTTATCGTCAACTGTCTTACACTTCTCCAACGAAATATCGTGTTCCTCAAAGTTGGTGTCTGTTATTTCCTCCTGGAAAAGCTGCTCTAAGGCCATATTATGCTTCTTGATGTAATTCTCTGTTTGCTAATATATGCCTGTTGCTGTTAAACATATGCAAAGATGAACAAGGTTAGATTCCAGGATAAGACAGCTGCAATGCGGAAAAAGGGGGAAATTTATGAAAACAAGAACTAGAATAGAACTCTGCAAACAATAAACATGTGAAGTTTATAAGGCAGCATTTCTTTTCTCAAATCAAACTGCATAATGATTCAAAAGTTTGGCCAAAACCAAACTACTAAAGGGGGTTAGGCCAAAAAGAAAAGGCCCTACACAATATTAAATATATGAGGACCTTATTAATTCTAATCCATCAAAAGAAACTATGTTGTCCACAAACTCTCCAAATATAGGTTGCTGAGAAACATTTACGTGGCAAGATCTCGTTCCACCGAAGAGGATTTAATTTCATACATCTACGATCACACCTCTCTATAATAATATTTCTAAATAAAAGCCATATTTTTTTCGAAACCAATGTTATTTTATAATATATATTCTCTATAACAGCACTTCACTTTAACAACAAAAATTTATTGGAACAAATAAGGTTATTATAGAGAGATTTGACCATATATCGGTCCAAACTAATACCATATGCCTCCAGGCACCAATGGTTCTTGATTATCTAGTGAAGCAACAATTATCTGTATGCATAAGAAAATTTGGCAATCTAAACACACACATCTCTAAAAACAGTCTCTAAAAACAGTCTCTAAAAATGTTTTAAATTACTCCTTTTACTCATTAACCTTTCCATCCTCCCCNATATATGAATCAGTATAAGTAATCTTTCATTATAGGGCAATTAATCAGTATCAAGTACTAATAATCAACCAATCCATAATTCATAAGAAAATTCCTTAGCAATCTCAAGTGTGCTCTAGGTAAGAATCTCTATCATTAGGTCAACTCATGACACCATTAATAAACAAAAAGTAAAAACGGGACGACTCCATCAGAAAAGATTGTTGTTACTACCTTTCTTGCCTATTTGTCAATATTACTTGTTCCAACTTTTTCTTTTTTTCTTTTTTTTAGTCGAGGGTTTATCGTTAATAACTTCTTCACATTCTAAGATCTGCGTACACTACCCTCCCAGACCCCACTTGTGGGATTCAACTGGATTGTTGTTGTTGTAAAAACGGGATGACTGGTACCAGTACCACTAAATTAAAGAGGTAATTAAGTTGTCAAGAAATAAAACAAAAATTTAGGGGTCATATTTTACAAGGTAAGTACTACAGCTCTTTGTTCTTAAAAACCAACTCCAGAAAGGTATAATCTTTTGTCCTATTAAGATCAAAATTCGTCAGGATACATAAAACTACAAAATTAGGTGGAGAATACAAAGAAGCACATGTAAAGTTTGCTAGCTATGCAGCTGTAAATAAAAAAAATTGTCCAATCCTTCTATCTCCATGTCTTCACTCCAGAGGAAATATAAGAAACAGACAACACTGATAAAAGGTTAAACAAGACACTAACAAAGATTTGATTTTTCACAGAAAATTAATGACACCTTCATCCAAATTCGTATTCAATGCCCATAAAATCCTTATAGGAATTCTCCACGTATAGACAAACTGATCACCCCCAACAAGAAAGGTAAAAATACCAAAAATCCCACTTAAAAAAGGAAAAAATTAAAATCCCACTAAAGAAAAAAAGAGGGAAATTTGGAGACATACCTAAATATGTTAATATCAAGAATGTTCCTGAAACTGGATACAAATATCAGAATGTTCAATCCAAACACTTGGTCTTGTTATATGGTCTTAGATAAAGTGAAAGATGAAGTAATAATCTGTATATTCTGTGGAAACAGAGGTGAAAGTAGAAGGTGGAAATATAAAAGTAGCGTTGAAGAGGAGATGAAGGAAGAGGTTTGAGTTGAGGTCTATATATATACTGCTTTTTTAAGACGCGCCTATAGAATATAGATACTGGTTTTTTGTATGTATAGCAAATTTAGCGTGTATAAATAAAGTAGTTGTACTATATAATACAAAACTATAATAAGGATACTTAATTAATGGTCACACTTCGTCTGGATTGCAAAGGCCAAAAAAATGAAAAATACATGGAAACCCATGAGCCCTTTCACTCGTCATCCAATATTTTATTTTTTCTTTTTTAAACTTCCATCTCCCTTACTTTTGGATTTAACTAATATAAAGTTAATTAGTTAATTTGATTTAAGAAGAGGATGCATTATACTATTTACGCTCCGGGATAGTCATCTCACTTTCAATTTATTGCATCGAAATCATAAATTTAATATTTTTTTATCGTCCGTGATATATAAGCATAATGTAACTAATTTTTTCATTATGAAAATAATTTTATAATTTTAATAAAGTAAATTAAAAAGTTGAATGACTATTCATAAAATTAACTTGTGACTCTTTCTATATTGCTGATCAATTAGATTTATATTTTGATACGTTCAGAAAAGAAGAAAAAAAGAGATGAAATAAGTCAATCAAGTTTTGCCAAAAGCAATAGCAGTTTGACAAAAGCAAGAAGTTCTCATCGCTCATTTCACCACCATTTGGTTAGAAGATAGAATTGGGAAGTTCTAAAAAAGAAAAAATTAAGAGTAGGAACACGTTTAATCGGATTGTAATTTAATAAGTATTTGGTTAGTTGTTTCATTGCTTCGTAATTAAATGATTAACCAAAATCTAACAAAAGAAGAAGGAAAAGGTAGCTTACATTAATTAGCTAAAGCAAGTTGAGGTGACATTGAACAAATATGGAATAAAACAACACCCGAAGGTTCACAAGAAGCTTCTGCAGCTTCAAGTGATTAATATTTGATTTGTCGCATCTTATTTCAAGTAATTTATAAACAACATAACTTAACCACAATTTAAACCTTAATCAGTAACAATTAATATACTAAAGTAATAATTAGTGTAGCAGTGGCAACTTCCTCTCAAATTCGTACTCCCTTCCTCCAATGTCTCGATTCTACAAAATCTTTCCTTAAGAGTTTCGTAATCGTACAATCACTTTATTGTTGTTCACATGGTGTTTCTTTATGCTTTAGTTTTTCTTTGTTAATATAGTAAACTTGATTCAGTTGTTGGAGAATCTTTATATAGTACTCATATTTTGAAACAATGATAATTCTGCAATATTTAGAACATCCGCTTAAGTGTGTTATATATTATGCCCTAGCTAGAAGACACGTACTTATATGCTTTTTTCATTAAGGGCCAATATTACTTTTAGAGATATTATTTCTATCTGGTAGTTATATATATGTATGATTATTTTTTTTAAGAGCGACCATACAATGTCATACAATATCGTTAGAATATCTAGTTAAAATTAGTGAGTCACATAAAAATATTGTAAACATAAGACTTGCATGTTTAATTCTACGTGTCACTGTTTCTGCACTAATTCGATTCTTTTTCTTCTTTTCTAATGAAACTTTATACTAAATGATTCTTGAAATTGAATCGAAACAGAAACCCAAAAATGGTAACTATGAGTGAGGCAGGAGTTTTTGGCCAATATTGTTCCTTAACTTTGAGGGTAGGTTTATTTTGGTCCCTCAAATATAGCCCTGAGCATATTTAGTCCCTTAAGTATGCTAAAGTGGAGCACATTTAGTCTCACTCATATAATATATTCAAAAACTAACGGTGTTACCCAACTTTAATTCATGAAGTAAATCTTCTGCTCCGAAGCAAAACGTTTCCTCTCCGTTGATTGGATAACGCAAATTATCACTTTAATTCCTCATTTTTAGATAATGTCTTCTAAAATTTTGACCTTGAAAATATCTCCTTTTGTGCCAGTTTTCAATGAGAAAATGACATTGTATAGCCGCTGTAAAAATAATAGTCGAAAAAATGTATAAAATTTGTATATATTTTGTATATATATATACAAAAATTATATAAATTTTATATACTTTTTTTCGCTACCAGATGTAAATAATTTTTGACACGGGCTAAAAGTGATAATACAACTTGGTTATTCGTTTGCTTCAATAATATGCCTAGAAGTGATCCTGGCAACTATATTTTTTTTTTCAAATTTTAACTTTTGTTTTTGGAAAAATCAACCGAAATTATTAAATGTATATATATATATACAAAAAAATATACAAATTTTATACATTTTTCGGCTATTATTTTTACAACGGCTATAGAGTGTCATTTTCTCATTGAAAACTGGCATAGAAGGAGATATTTTCAATGTCAAAATTTTAGAAGACATTATCTAAAAATGAGGAATTAAAGTGATAATTTGTGTTATCCAATNTGGCATAGAAGGAGATATTTTCAATGTCAAAATTTTAGAAGACATTATCTAAAAATGAGGAATTAAAGTGATAATTTGTGTTTTCCAATAAAAGGAGAGGAAACGTTTTGCTTCAGAGTAGAAGATTTGCTTCATGAATCAGAATTGGGTAACACCGTTAGTTTTTGAACATATTGTATCATCGAGACTAAAGGTGCTCCAATTTAGCATACTTAAGAAACTAAATATGCTCAGAATTATATTTGAGGGACCAAAATAAATCTACCTTCAAAGATAAGAGATAATATTGGTAAAAAACTCAGTGATGCAGCATATAGTTACGTTACATCATTAGGTTAAGGTAACCAATTATAACAATAAGTATCTGTATAAAGGCATCATAATTTAGTAATAATCTAGAGGATAAAATGAATAATCTACTACTATATAATTTGTTAAAATACACCAATAATCGTGTAAATGTTTTTACCCTGTCATTATAATAACTTAAATCCTTTTTTTCCTCTCCTTCCCTTTCATTTTCACACTTGCTAGTCTATTGGCAGTTTATTAAACCTTAACACACGTTTAGTGACTCATGTGATACGGTATTTAATCCGCCACGCGGCACCTTTTACTTGTTTAATTTCTCTGTGTTGACAATAACTACGACCCTTGCTAATAATGCAATTAATATTTACACGTTCTTACACTAAATCAGACTAAGAACTCTTAAATTAAACTTCAATTTCAAAACAGCGTCCCAAAAAATCTCTAGAACTAATTACTAGAGGCTTCCTATAAAATGGGATGTTGAGCATCTCTAGAACTAATTGTCAAACTTTAATTCAAAGTTTATAATATGTGGCTAGAAAAAGAAATCCCATTAATTTTTCAAGATTTTGTGTGAAAAAATGTTAGCTTTTGTCACAAAAATAAAATAAAATAAAATGTATCTTACCTGCTTGCCTAGGTGGTTATGTAGAAAAGTAGTGTAATCATCCTTAGATGAGAACTAGAACATTACTAAAATTAAACTAAATTTATTACTTTTGACTCGAGTCAAATATAGTAAAATTTTCGCCGATTATCCCTTTTTTATATCAGTTGCTTACTAATGGCTATTTGTTTTTTATTGCTCTTCCAATTAGTGAACCTTTTAGATCCCGATCTTTCCTAAAGATCGAAAACTTATGAATAATTTAAAAATCTTATGAGAAAACTTTAGATTACGATCTAAAAAATTATAAGTTTACAAGCGTTAAATTACAATCTAATATTTTGTAAGCAAACTAAAAAATATATGCGCAAACATTACATCCGAATCCACTGTTATCAGGAGAAACAATTTTTCGAGAGCTATAGTTGCAGGTCTTTTTAAAATAGTGACAAAATATAAACAATGGCCTAAATAACAGACATCTCTGCAAGATCAGCCAATATTATCTACATGTTGACGATTTATCTACACGTGTGAACTCACAATATAAAATAAAGTCAAAATGTCGGCTATTTGACTCCAATAATGATATGCAGCCGCACGTAGTCAAATGCAATGAAACGACAACAATTAGAAGCATTTCTTGCTTTTGTTTCATTTCTCGTCTTCTCGCAATTAATTGTAATTACATAAAAGATTAGGACGAAGCTTTTGACTAGGACGCCTACTTAAAATTTCCCAATACGTGATATTAAATATACTTAGTTAATACAATAATCTGGAATTTTTTTTGAAAAAACGCAGACTTCGAATTATCTCATCAATGAGGAAGTAAATATTTTTCACATAACATAAATTTCAAAGAAAATTGATGAAGAAAAAGCAATATGATTGCGCCGTGGTCGGGGGCGGCAATGGATAGATGTATGGGAGTAAAAACTTATATGTATAAAGTTTTACATCAAATTAATGAATATAAAGTGTCTCTTGTACACGCATTTATCACTTATTATGATAAATGATATGCACTCTCATTTGAATTATAAGTGCTAAATGATTACTTAATTTAGTATAAACATTCTATGTGAGATTTGAGAAGTATTGAAGTGCATAGCCCTCCTCTGGAATTATGTTAGGAGATTTTTTTCTGATTTTGTTGTATTTAGAGAGATACTATAAGCCTTTCATCCCATATTCAATTCGAACCTCGGAAGCCGAGAGTTTTATGTCTTCCTCAAGCAGAGGCGGATCCAGGATTTAAATCATATGGGTTCAATTTTAAGATTTTTAACATTGAACTCATTATATTTTTAAAGTTATGACTTCATTTCTACTATTTTTGCAATTTTAATGAATTTTTACATACAAATTTTTACTCGGCGTCGAAAGTTATGGGTTTAATTGAACCCGTATATAGTATACTACATCCGCCTCTGTCCTCAAGAGCCAATGCAAGATAACATTTTTTCAGACTTTTCTTTGACCAAACTCGCTTGGAAATTGATCTTCGTACTAGCGTTAGGTTCTTGCATCCTCAATTTAGTTGGTTGGTTGACTAGCTTCTATTGACTTAACTTAGTAGTAATACTGAGGGCGGATCCACATGGGGTCAAAAGGGTTCATATGAACTCACTTCGTCGGACAATAATACTGTGTACAGAGGCGGATCCAGGATTTGAG